GTTCTGAGGCATTCCCGCTCCTGGTCATCGTCCCAGCTCTCTGACTCCTGCACTTGGATGTCAGAGAAACAAGACAGGGCAGGAACTCAGGCATGGCAGGAGCCCAGGTATGTTTCAGACATGGGTTTGGTTCCCGATTGCAAAGCCGCATGAGCAAGGAGTCTCTTATACAGTTGTGAAACGGAGCCTCCCCCACTTTTGCAGAGATGTCCTCATACTTCCGAGTTTTGTGGTTTTCCCCCTCGAGGATGAAGAGATGCCAGATGGAGAATTCAAAGGGAAGAAAACTAAGAAACAATAACAAAAGCATTCCTTTGTTCCAACATTGGATCTATTTTCCTTTTTAAATTAAGGGTGTATCCGGATTAGCCACTGTGAGCAACAAAGACTGTGCCCCTCCTCTGCACCTAAATGGGGATAGGATTGATTTCTCCTTTATGTAAAAGAAATCTAACACAGGCAGGGGGACCGATGGAGAGACCTGTAGTGTGAGGAACTCAAGATCCCCTGTCTCTGGCTTCTGTTCCCAAGGTCCCTCATGGTCCGACATGGCTGCTATGCTCCAGCCATCACGTCCACATTCCAGGCAGAAGGGAGGAAGAAGACCAAGAAGGACACACCTTGCACCTTTAAGAAGACATCCTAGAAGTCATACATGACTATTACACTCATTTCTCTGTGGCAAAAACTTAGTTCTGTGGACAGGAGAAGCGGCAAGTCAGGCTGTGGAATATCGTCTTTTGGCCAAGTGACAATGTCCGTGTAGAAATCAAGAATCTTCCTACCAAGAAAGAAAACAGATAAGATACACAAGCTCTCTGTGCCTCTGCTGGGGACTATTGTGGTAAAAGTGATCTGGTGCTGAGTTAGAGAACGGGAAACTGGCATCGTGGCATTTGTGTTGACACAAACTGTGTCACCCTGAGTGTTGATGAGTTGGCAGCCTTATCACTTTTTACGAACTTTTCCTTACCTAGGAAGGAAGGATTCACAAGTGCTATGGGGTAATAATCCAGGATAATCATTTTTTATATTTCAAATCTATAAAACCATTTCTAACCCGAGACCTGTGACTAAAGCTTCCCTGAATGTTCCAGTATTCTCTAACTGAAGATTTCAACAGCACAGCCCCCCTAACCTTCTCATTGCCTCAGCCAATAGCTCTCATTAGTAGAAAGCTAATAGGTGGGGTAGAGGAGGGGAGAGGGGAGAGTGGGGAGTGAGAGCACTGCCTTTGACCTATAAGCAATTACTTAACACATTCTGGAATTGTTTCAAGGTCAGGTTTTCTAGCTGGCTGGGTTCACCCTCTCTGTATCTCTTGCCAGGACACTGGTTTGATGCATCTGAACTTTAATTTTCTTCTCAGTTAAATGGGGATCCTACAGATCCCAAATCTCACAGCACTGGCATGAGAACAGGACGCAGGAATCCTGTGAGGCTTCACTAGGTGATGAACTTGACATTACTGGTTCCCATCTGGGTGTTAACCCGCAGCAGGTGGTGTGCTGAGCACATGGGCTGTCCCAGGACCCTCGAGACGGTGCCACCAGTTGTATGTCTCTGCCACTCCTTGAGTTGCCCCCCAAATGTCCTTTCTTGTCCCAGATGTCCTCACTGGCAGCACTTGCATTGTCCCCAAGTGTGTCCTGCCAGTGTACACTGCAGAGCCCACCCACGCATGCTTCTCTCCAACAAGGCAGACAGGGCAGTCCCACCCACAGCCTCACAGAATCATGTGGGCACCAGTCAGTAGAGAACTGTGGCCGTCTTTCCTGTTTTTTGGGTTCACATATCACATATCACCAGTGGCACCCCCGTGCCTCCTTGACTCAAATTGTTATTGATCTTTGATGCCAAGTTGAGGCCTGGCGACCTTCTGCCTGGGAACGTACTTACTGTCATTCAGCTGCTGAAAGAGTGCGCCAGGAAAAATGAGAAACTGGAACCCCCTTCCCTCCAGTCCCGGCTCTAATTGTCCAATAAGAGCCTCCAATAAAAATAACTGGAGAAAAAGAGATTGGTGTGAGGACAAGAGCCATCAGCCCTACAGCAACCACACGGAGGCAAGAGACAAAGACCTTGATCTTTGCCTTGAATGATCAGACTTTCCTGGGACACTGGTCTCATCTCACCAATCTGAACAGCCAAGTGACCTTGGACAAGGGCCTTCACCTGTCTGAGCCTCAGTTTCCCCATCTAGGAAATAGGACCAATAATTGTCCAGATGGTGCTTGTGATGCTCTGTGCATGATGCCTGGCACATGGAGGTGCGCCTGGCTGGCAGCTGCAGTGGTGAGTGTGGTCGGGCCCTGGAGGTGGAAAGGAGGGGAGCAGGTGAGGAGGGGACCACAGTGGGAGAGAAGGAGGGGAGGGTCTGGAGAGCTTTGGAACTGGGGCAGCAGCTTAGCTTGGGGCTGCCAGGCTTGCAAAGCCTCCACCCACAGTGTCCCTGGAATGTCTGGGCTGGGAAGGGTGTCCCCAGATCCATCCAGGGCCAGCAAGGAGCCTACAGGGTTGCCACAAAAAGCATCTGTAGGGGTGTGGAGGATGGATTAGTTGTGATTATTATTACACACCATTATTAACCACACCAACCCTCCATTCAAATGCTGGGCTCCAGAAAAGCCTGAGTCTGTGTCGCTTCCCTTCCACTTTGCTGACGTGGATTATTTTGTTCTCCTGCACCCAAGGTCTAAAGGTCACTGGGACTGGCAGCTGGGTGGGCAAGAGTGTGAGCTCAAATACCAGTTCCTTCATTTGGGAGCTGTGTGGCCTTGGGAAAGTGACTTACACTCTCTGTTCCCCATTCTCTTATTGTAAAAATGGGGCTGATGATGGTACCAGCCTCAGAGGGTTGTGGAGGGTGAGGAGGATGTTTGTGGGGCCAGGTACCTAGGAGCATCTGTTAATACAAATCTCTTCTCCCCATGGGTTTGTCCTTTGTCAGACCAAGGACTGTTCTGGAACAGTCTTATTCACTGATCCTTTGGCCCTTGAAACAGCCCAGCACATAGTAGGTGCTTAGTAAGCATTGGATGAATGACAGTTGATCTGAAAATGATGTTTTAAAAACTTAGAAGGCTCGGTGCCCATAGCTCAGTGGTTAAGGGCACCAGCACATACACTGGGGCTGGCAGGTTCGAACCTGTCCTGGGCCTGCTAAACAACAATGACAACTGCAACAAAAAATAGCTGAGCATTGTGGTGGGCGCCTGTAGTCCCAGCTACTTGGGAGGCTGAGGCAAGAGAATTACTTAAGCCCAAAAGTTTGAGATTGCTGTGAACTGTGACCCCACGACACTCTACTGAGGGCAACATAGTGAGACTCTGTCTCCAAAAAAAAAAAAAAAAATCTGAGAAGACAATACTTCTATGAAATCAATATATAATCACCTATACATTCATACAAATGGTAAAACATAACTATAGTCCAGAAAGTAGAAGGGAAGAGGACAGAGAGGGGAGGGGAGGGGGAGGCGGGAGGAGGGAGCATGCATGATGCAATCGTACATTTCAAAACTATTAAGAAAAGAGTATAATTGTGATGGATGTGTTAATCAGTGCAATGTAAGCATTTCACATTGTATATCAAATCAGTACACTGAACCCCATAAATGCAAAAAAAAAATAGTTTGTATAAAAAAAGGAATGCAAACTGGTATAACTACTCTAGAAAAGCAAACGGAATTGTTTAATAAAATTAAATATGTGCTTACATTTGAAAAAAAAACTGAAAAGAAAAGGAAAGGAAGGGGGGCAGGGAGATAAAGAGAACATCTGTGTTATTCTTTATCTGCCTTATTTTTTATCTGTGTTTAAGTTGCACCAGGATCCTGGGCAAGGGTTTCCACATCACACACTTGGTCATCTGTCATCCTTGTCACGCCCACATGCTCTGACTGGACTGAGACCCCCACAATCTGAGCTCCCAGGGGGTCTGTGTCGGCACAGAGCCTTGGGTGTTTGGAAGGGGTGCAGGTGGAATGGGCTAGTTATGCATCTGGGGCAACCTGGAGAGGCTCCCTCCTGCCCAGCCCAGCCCTGAGCCTGCAGCAAGGGATGTCTGCAGACGTGAGGGGGGAGCACACAGGAGGCCCTTTGCTGGTCTAGCCTGTTTCTTCACCTGCCAACAAGGGACTTGGATTTACACATTTCAAAGGCAATCTTTTTCTGGCTGTAAGTTGGTTTATGTATATACCTGCACTGGTTAAAGATACGAAGCATCTCCGAATGGGTCAGAGCCAGGTGTGAACCTGATTAGTGAACAATTTCCACCTCCTGGGATTCTGTGGACACGTGCTGGGACGTCTGTATTAGCTCCCCTTTAATCTCTGTATTAGCTCCTGGAGCTAGCTACACCCCCAGTCTTGGTTCCTTTGTCTGCAAATTGGGGTGTGTGTGTGTGTGTGTGTGTGTGTGTATGATGAATACACTATCCCTTTTTTTTTTTAATCTACGTAAAGAGGGTAAGAATAAACTCAGAGAAAGTTCACTGGTCGCCACCGTTTACAGACCCCAGCCCTTGCCGACTTCATTTGACTCTATCCTGCCGGGTCACCTCCCAACTCCCACTTTCCAGGTGAACCACAAACAGCCGGGATTTAGTAAATACTCAAACCACTGGTGGAAAGTGCTTGACACTGGACGGGGCGCACAGTAAAGCGAGCGCTCCACTAAACTATTCCTGCGTGGTCACAGCAAAGAAACCGACGCATCCGGGTCTCAAGCCGGCCCCAGATGCCAGGTGGCAGACCCCGAGGCCCTCCGGCGCTCGAGACTCCCTCAGCTCTCTGAGCCCGCGGGGCGGGGCCAAGGGCAGGGACCGGGCGGGGCCGGGCTGCGCGGCCCTATCAGCGCCCCCGGGCGTCAGGAGGGCGTGGCCTCCGGGCTTTGGGCAGCCTACAAAAGGCTGCGCTCTGAGTCTCAGGACCAACTCGCATCCTTGGGCATCTGTGGTGTCTACTGTGCTGCGATCAACCCGCCCGTGGTAACCGCGCTGCTGCTGCTGCTGCCGCTGCTCGACGCGGGAGACGCCGGCATAGAAGTTGTGGTTGGAGCCCTGCGGAGGTAAGCGTGACTTCAAGTCCTCTCTATTTTGCAGACTGAGCTCCGCTACTCTCCCTAATCTCTAGGAGCCGGTCTCAGGGCTTCCTGCGTGCAGGCACTGCGTGCTCCACTTGCATCTCGGAACTCGTTTTGCGGCACGCCCTTTTACAGGTGAAGACACTGAGGCTCAGCGAGGACAACTCTTTTGCCCAGCTGCTGACTCCTAAGAAGCCAAGGAGCTGGGATTCACAGCCGGTCTGAGAGCAGAACTGCGCTCCCTGGAGGGTGTGCATTTGTTGCGTTCCTGTGCTCTGTAGTAGGCGTCGTTAAGGGGCAAGTTGATGGCGCGGATGTGGCAGGCATTAGAACGTGTTCTGCCCATGGGAGCGCTGTGCGTTCTGCTCTGAGGCTTGCAGAGCCACTGTGATTTCATTTGCAAGGCAGCTGCCTTCTTCCTGTATTTTAGATGAAGATGTTGAGGGTCAGAGAGGTAAAGTGAGTTGGTTCAGTAGAGCCAGGGCTCTGTCTGCCTCCAAAGCTTCAGATGGATGTGTCCAGGTGTGGGGCCATGCTGGAGTTCTTGAAGTTTCCAGAAACACTTTTCCAGGCATCTGCAAAACTCCTTGTGCTGGAGCTGAGGGGCTTGCTCTGGAGTCCTGGGGAAATTAGCTGCCTCAGATGGAGACAGCCAGGGTCAGCCTCTCATGTAGTGCAGACCCCCCACACCCCCTCCCGTTCCCAAGGGCTGGTTTAGCGGACAAGCTGGGCGGAGTTTAGCTGATGCCTGGCCACTGCTGTCTGACCTGAATTTGGCGTCTTTCTGCCAAAAGGCATGTTGTTGCTCTGGCCAAAAGCAGCATCTGGGAGCTTGTGCAAGTGCCAGCTTACCTTGCAACCATGAATGGAGTTGTGAGTTTCCCCTTTGAGCCTCTGGATTCCTTGTCCTGGCAGAATGGGGTGAACCTGCCTATTCCATCCAGAGTCTGGGGTTGAGAGATCAGCGTCCTGCAGAATAGACTGAGCATGGCCTCTCTCCCACAGGTTGGGGCTACTCGGTTGTCACTGTCGGCCGTCCAGGGCTCTTTGTGTTTTATGCTCCCAATTTTCTGCTTCTGCCGAAAATGGCTATTTCCACACGGGAGAAGGAGCAGGTGTGGGGCTTTATTGCCTATAGGGCAACACAAGGCCCATGCTCTGGACTTTATCTGCTTTATAATCATCCCTACAGCACACCAGGGCAGCCTGCCGCTTACTGCCCATTTCATAGCTGAGGAAACTGAGGCTCAACGAGGCAAGAGCCCCCATCTGGGCAGGACGGTCTCCCCCTCAGGTGGGTCTGACTCCAGACCCTGCACTTGATCTCCAAGTCCTGCTTCCTTTCGGACACTTCTGCCCACTGCTAGTTCTATCTCCCAACCTGACCTTCACACAGACAGCGTTTTGTCAGAAACGAGTCCAGTAAAACAGCTGGATGAGGTCCCCAGGGAGGAGAAACAGAGGGCAATTTTGATTTTTGCAGAATCCCTTAAAGCTGTGAGAGTAGGAGGAAGAAGAATGACATTTATCATAACACCAGCAGTTGACGTTTATCTAGCATTTAGCACAGACCAGATGTGCCAGGGTTTTCCTGGATGGTCTCCCTGGCTGCTCCGAGCTGGGTCCGTTTTATGGAAGTACACTGAGGCTCAGGATGATTAGGGCATGTGCCCAGCATGACACAGCCAGGGTGGGGTGGAGCTGCCGTCCTGGCTGGGCTCTGCCCCAGATTCTGGGAGAAGGTGCTTGTCCAGTGGTGAGCCACGTGACTATTGTGATACAGCTTACTACTAGTTAACGTGTCTTGTGCCATGTGGGTGCTTTGAAATATTGTCAGGGATGGGGTGGGGGGCGAGGTCAGACGGGGAGGCACTGACTTTGGACTCTGGCTCAACTCTCCCGACAGATACCGGTCTGTAGCCACTGAGAGCCTTGCCCTAGTCCCCAGACCCGTGCGGGCTCCCAGGGTCCCACTGCTGGACAGGAGAAGAGAGTTGGCCTGATGGGGGAGGCCTACAGCCAGGGAAAGAGTATGGGGCCCTTACGGCCCCTGAACTTCATTTCTCAAAGGTCCCAGATTGAATATACAGCCCTTTTTAAGTTGCATTTGAGGCAGGTCCTCCAACACTGACCTCTATGGTCTTGGGGACCTGGAGTACTTCTTTCCTCTGTCACCAGTGTAATTTGCTGTGTATGGGGGAGGTGCCTGTGTGTCTGCCTTTGCCTGACTCAGGAGGGTTTTTTTTTTTTTTTTTTGTGCAAACTCACTGGTTTTTGATCAGTCCCAGATGTGAAACCCAGCATCACTCAAAGGGGCTGGTGGCTTGTCAGGAAAGGAAAATAAACCCAGGCATAATTTTATTTCACTTCATCTTCAGCTAGCTGAGGGGGATAGTTGCTCAGACCTTCACGGAAGGGGGACTCACTCTGCGCCTTGTAAAACGGAGCACGCTCTGTTCTGGGACAGGGAGGGGCCGGCCGGGCAGATCTTGATGGTGGATGATAGGATAAGCCATATTCTTTTTTTCTTCCCCCCACGCCATGAAAAACATTTCCTCGTGGTCAAATACATGCAAACATAAACCCTTTTAACTGTTTTCAAGCGTGCAATTCACTAAAGTGGTATTTCATGCACTCGCTGTGTTGGGCAACCATCGCCACTGTCTAGTTCTAGAGCATTCTCAGCATCCTACAAGGAAATCCCATCCCATCGGCACTCACTCCCCAGCCCCATCCCTCTCCCCTGGCAGCCACTAATCTACTTTCTGTGTCTGGAGTTGCTCTGTTTGACATTTCATGTAAGCGGAGTCGTGTAACCTGGGAGTCTTAGAGTCTGGCTTCCTCCACTGAGC